AAAACCCAGCCGCTTTTCCGGAAAAACTTGCCAGCTGTCTACACTGGCTGCTTGAATTTCCAGAAAAGCACTGACGATCTCATGTAAGATCGTCAGTGATTTTTCGGAAATACTATGCTGCTCCCGTTCGGGCAAAAGGGCCAGTGTAGACACCACAGTACTGTTTTCCGCAAAAAAGCCATGATTACGAAAATGGCGATCGGGGCTTTTTTGCGGAAAAGCGCGTCTAGATTGGCCATGGATGCTTTTCCAGAAAAGCGTCCTGCCAATCTAGATGCGCTTTTCCGAAAATGCTTTTAACGGAAAACTTTTCTGTTAAAAGCATTTCCGGAAAATCATGCCAGTGTAGATGTAGCCAGCCAGTATGACCTGGATGAGGGAATGGATTGCACCCTCAGCAAGTTTGCAGATGACACTAATCTAGGTGGAGAGGTAGATATGCTTGAGGTCAGGAATAGAGTCCAGAGAGAACTAGACGGATTAGAGGATTGGGCCACAAAATATATGATAAGGATCAACAAGGAAAAATGTAGAGTCCTGCACTTGGGACTGAAGAATCCCAAGCATTGTTACAGGCTGGGGACCAACCGGCTAAGTAGCAGTTCTGCACAAAAGGACCTGGGGATTACAGTGGATGAGAAGCTGGAGATGAGTCAACAGTGTGCCCTTGTAGCCAAGAAGGCTAATGACATATCAGGTTGCATTAGGAGGAGCATTGCCAGCAGATCGAGAGAAGTGATTATTCCCCTTTATTCAGCTCTGGTGAGGCCACATCTGGAGTATTGTGTCCTGGGTCCCCCACTATAGAAAGGATGTGGCCTCATTGGAGAGGGTCCAGCAGAGGGGTGACCAGAATGATTAGGGGGCTGGAGTGCGTGACCTATGAGGAGAGACTGAGGGATTTGGGTTTGTTTTGTCTGCAGAAGAGAAGAGTGAGGGGGGATTTGATAGCAGCCTTCAACTTCCTGAAGGGAGGTTCCAAAGAGGATGGAGAGAGGCTGGTCACAGTAGTGACGGATGACAGAACAAGGAACAATGGTCTCGAGTTACAGTGAGTGAGGTCTAGGTTGTATATTAAGAAAAACTAGGAGGTGATGAAGTACTGAAATGGATTACTTAGGGAGGTGGTGGAATCTCCATCCCTAGAGGTTTTCAAGTTTCAGCTTGTGAAAGCCCTACCTGGGTTTAATTAATTGGGATTGGTCCTGCCTTGGGCAGGGGGCTGGACTTGATGACCTCCTGAGGTCTCTTCCACCTCTATGACTCTATGGGTAGGTCTACACTAGCCCCCTAGTTTGAACTAGGGTGGCTAATGTAGGCATTCGAACTTGCAAATGAAGCCCGGGATTTAAATATCCCAGGCTTCATTTGCATGTTCCTGGGCGGGCGCCATTTTTAAATCCCCTTAGTTCGAACTGACAGCCTGTGGCTACATGCGCCAGTCAGAAGTTAATTCGAACTAAGTCTTTAGTTCGGATTAACTGTTATACCTCATTGCAGGGTATTTAAAAATGGCGCCCGCCCGGGAATATGCAAATGAAGCCTAGGATATTTAAATCCCGGCTTCGTTTGCAAGTTCGAATGCCTACATTAACCACCCTAGTTCAAAGTAGGGGGCTAGTGTAGACATACCCTATGTTTATGATGTAGCTGTCTAGAATGGTTACAGGAGAGAATTTGTTTCAATTTGGAAGGTTGTGTGCAAGCGAGAATTGGCCTTTCCCCCAAGGCTTCTGAGAGGGAGGGATCATTTTCCAAGATAGGTTGTAGATTGTGGATAATGCGACTAAA